TACTTCTTTGAGTAAGCTGATGAACCAGCATTTTCATTCCCGTCAAGAGTGGAAGGGACATAATAGGATCTTTCTGCCATCATAGTACCTATCCGGGATGTTGCTGCGATCTGTGAAGGAGTAGCTCCCAATGAAGCAAGCAAGTTCTGGTTACGAGCATGCATGACAGAATCGACATAGGTTGGCACAGCCGATGCAGAAGATTTTGGAAGTCGCTGTGGGTCCAATGGCATGCTAGAGTAAGGATTTCGATTAGCATTCATCTGTTTTAGGTATGATGCGAGCTGATACCCATGAATCGTTGCAGGTTGGTAGAATTGGTTGTTGTCTGCGTATGATGGCGTGCTAAAATTTGAATTTAATCTTGCACCTTGATCGAGTAAGCTGTTGCTTGAACTCTGCAGTTGGGTACTTGGTAACTGCATGCCCTGAGACCAGGCTGATGACCCAATGTTATTGCCCATCTGAAGCCCATATGTCAGATCCAAATTCGACATCTCATTCTTAGTAGACATCAGATCCCTTGAACTTCCCAAGAAGGCAGACCCTTGTAAATTGTCTCGTACCATGGGACTCTTCGGGATTTCATTAGCTTGACTGTCTGCTCTTACAGTTGAGCTAGGTGTTCTTACGTCTAGCCCAAGCAAGATGTCAAACCTTTTAGAGCTAGCTTCTTGAGTGAGTTTCCCATGGTAATCAAAGAGATGCCCCCAGAACTCATCAAGTATGGCTGCTAGTTGCCTCCTTGCTGCACGGCCCAAACCAGATAACCTCGAGAGACTCCCGCTGCCATTGCCTGCATCTGAGCCTTTCCCCCTGCTGAAGGTAAGAGATGGTGGGCCATCATCCGATGCACAGGAAGGATTATTGCCTCCAAGTGGCTTGTTGTCAGACTCTAGAATATTTGGAGCCTCCTTATCATTGTCCATCAAAAGAGCTGGTTCTACTTCAATATCCCTTTCGCCTGTGCTCTTGGAGTCCACACTCTCTACTGTACTTTCCTCAGCCACAATAGCATTAGAAATTGGCTCCAGAGGCTCTGGCCAGTCAACAGCAACAACTGATTTTGACTCTTCAGGAATGAATGATGGAGAGTGACAGGATTCAGGAGCGGTAGATGTATGAGCAGTGGAATGTTGAGAATCATGATCAGATTCTATAGCTGTGTCCGAACTATCAATGTAGTCCAGAGCTGATTTCAGACAATCCACAGGCTGAATCCTAGGAGAAGGGACAACATCAGATCTCTGATCTTCCTCATAGGTAACATTGCCCGCACAAGTCTCTTCTCTGTCTTGAGTAGTATTCAAGAGCTCTTTCTGAGAAGGCACAGACCATTCCTGCTGCAATTCAGCTTCATGGCTTCCTGATTTCAGTGGTGTAACAGCCATGTAGAGTGAAAATGCAACAGAGACACAAGCCACCGTGATGAGAACCGTAGATGGAAACACCACAGGGCTTCCAGTATTCCCTTTCAGAGTGTTCAGCCAACCACTGTCACCAAACAGCATTTCTGCCATAAAGATGATATTCGAAAACAGCATGAGGAGAAATGCAAGAAATGTTAATATCTCCAGATGCAAAGACACTCTGTGGGCACCCATTATCAATCTTGATGAGGCAACACGGAAGAGTGGCACGACTGATGATGGAAGGAGCATGGCCTGGATAATCTGGCAGATTATCAGTAATTGGTATATTCCTTCAGCACCTGCAACCTTAGCACAGTACAGAGCAGGAACTATGGCAAAAGCCTTCAGTATCAGATGATGTCCAGAGAGAGGAAGATTAATGCCAAACAAATGCTGCGAAATCACTTGGCTACCAATAGCAGATGTCAACGAGATGATGTGGCTAGAGAAGAGAAGAACCACTAGAAATATAGTTGGAGCCATAGGGTTTACAAATATCTGCAAAATGATAAATGTTAGGTAGTGTATATCACTTTAGGATTGCTACTGAAACAAGATTTCTTCAGCACCAGCTTAGCATATCACAGGGTGAAGTAGTAGGAACTATAGTACTAACCTGGTTCATTAGTTCTACAACATCTTGGAAGGTGAGAAGAAGGGTGTTAGTGGAATCAGCTGCTGCAGAGTTCATTAGAACATGATTCACCAGAAAAATTCCAGTAAAAATAAATAATACTGAAAACAAGTGATCATGAAATAAGGCACCAACAGCAAAGGCAGATCTTTTCTGACCCTGAAAAGAGATTATTTGATTAGCAAACATGGATACAAGCTGAAAAAAAAAGACAACCAAAAGCATAAGACACAAAGGGCAATGAAATGTAGCTGGTTTTGCTGTCAAACTCACTAATGCTATCCATTTTTATACACTTTAGGTAATATATATATCATATACTAGCAAACCTAAGGCAAAGACCTCATGAACACTAGACACTTACCATTAGTGAACCAAAATATGTACACGCGAAAGTAAAAAAGAAAACAAATAGAAATAGGCCACAGTTTTAGGGAACAAACATTTACTCAAGGAACATTCTAGATTTGTGCTTGTCAATCAGAAATAGTATTCCGCATGTGGCACAATAGCTTATTAAATACTATAGTTTCATTGGCCATAATTGTTAGTTAAGCTCCAAACTGGATTAAGTGAGAACAAATTCTTTCACTAACTAACGATGAGCATGCCTAACATAATGCTGCAATTCGCTAGAAGATGTATCTTGGTGTTTTGAAATTAAGTCAATGAACATCACTTCAACTCTGCGCAAACAATTGAAATAGGACAAACCATATCTTTTTCAGTTGGATACAGCGTACCCACAAACCACTGGATCTATTAGAACAAAAACATTCTCCACTACATCCGATATTAGACTGGTATAACTAGTCTAATATAGTGACCCTTGCTATCAGTTTGGAATTTCTGAACTGTTCGAAACACTAGCAAAGCTAGCAACATGTGTCATTGTGTGGTGTAAATAATTGTGGCATGCCATTGACCATTGTCCACCAAATGCCCAAACCCCCCTCACCCCAAATGCATCAAATCAAATATAATTCTAACTATGTAATGGGCACAAAGAAGCATCATAATTTACCTGAACAACTGATGAATGGATGTAAAAGTTGTGTGCCATTACGTTTGCACCAAGAAGAGCCATCAGAGAATAAGCACTTTCACCACTGAGCTTGGGGAAAATTACATTCGTTGTCAGAGGAATTTGTGGTTGGCTGACCAATAAACCAAGAACGTAGCAAAGAAGCGCAAAGCCTGCAATGCAAGCATTTAATGTCCCCACCATCTTCTTTCCCTAGAATAGGTATATGAAAGTAATTGACAAATATTAACTCCAAATCAGATTACAATATAGGTTTGAAGTTTTCTATATGAGATAATCTTCTTCTTTACCAGGTGTGATATAGCATATGGTAGCAGATTAGGAACAACGGTTGCAAAACATATCCCAGTGATGAGATCATCATATTCAAATAGAAGATTGAATCCAAGTGCTATCCCAAAAATCTGAAATTGCCAGATATTACAATCAGAACAAAGCATGTGCAAAACATGCAGCATTTATGGCTGAAATTTCTCAGGCTCAGATCTCATATTAAATATCGAAAAGAGAAGAGGCTGAAAATACCATCGTCAATTCTGATGTCAACAAGGACAATCCTGCTTGAACACCCAGAAAGATGCATGTTGGCCTGCTGTATTCTTGGTGGCAGATCTTTGTTCCATGTGGAAAACACAAAAATGTCAGCAACCTCGAAAGAATTTCACGAACAAAACGAATAACATAGAAGGATCAAAGCACACTGTTTTACAGGGAAAGTTGGTTTTTCCCCCTCCGCAAAATGGCCAGCTAGAAAGGGAACTTGAGATGAGCAAAAGTTCCTTTTCCACCATTTCCGAAAACAAAACACCTCCTTTCTTTGTTTACTATCACAACATATACACCATAAGGGCACCAAAAAAAAAGAATAGGATTCTTTTGCACAAGTATAGTTCCAAGTGAACCATCATTTTCTTTATCAACAGGAATTCACATACGAGATTTAGGACCTTCATTATGAAGATGCTTTTCCTACTCATCAGAATTCGCTCAGAGACTCAATTCAGTATCAAAAACCCATCATCATTTCTACCATTTGCGAAACGACAAACCGATGTCGATCAATTGACTGATCAAGGCCAGAGAGGCTGGACACTTTTAGAGGGTTTGCTCCTACACTTGGTCAATGGGGGCTCACACATTTGCACACTAGTAGAGAAGTGCTTTTTAGTCCTGATTCGTAACCTTTTGTAGACCTGATTTTTTAACCGGGACTACGAATCCGGGACTAAAGATCGCTATCTTTAGTCCCGGCTATCTTTAGTCCCGATTGGTGTTACCAACCGGGACTAAAGAGGTTAGATTCAGTTGCTCCTTTATTCTTTTCTTTTCTTCATTGTTGTTTTTAATATATTGATTTCACTCCATCCCATCCCAAAAATCCCAAATCAATCATCCCCGAATTGCCTCCAAATCCTCAAATCGATCATCTCCAAATACATCATAAAATCTTAAAAAAAATTACATCACAACTTCTACAAAATTCATCACAAATGCATCACATATTCACATCACACACAAATCTCAGATCCAAATCACAAATTCTCCAAAAATAATAATAATAACGGCGTTTTCGCTTAGTGGTTACAAGAGCCTCAGTAGCACCTGAGGTCTTGGGTTCGACTCCCCATGGGAGCGGATTTTCTAAGATATAACGGCGTTGTGCTTTTAGTGGTAGGCGACATATCCGTCGACAACGAGGTGCCTATGGTGACTTCGTCAATCTCAAGGATTTGCCGGCCCAGTTTTCGAAGATGCTTATAGGGGTAGGGTTTGCGTGCGTGTATTCATAGATGTGAGTGCGTGTGCGTTGTGAGTATCTACATTGCACTGTGTAATTCTAAAAAAAAAAGCCCCAAATCTTTTACATGAGCCATACAACCAAAATACTATAACCAGAGTGAATAACAAATTAAGGTGGTTAATTTTCCTCCTCTTATAGAACAAGGTGGCAATAAAAAATTGCAACATGAATGGTGTGTGTGCATGGTGTAGATTGGAGAACAAAAACGTTTAATTAGCACAAGGTGCAAACTTGCCACTAAGCAAAAACGGCACGCACACCAATGGCACAAGTGCGTTCTTCACTCGAGCCAGCCAGTATAGCTTTTTAGCTGTTGGTGACGTTGCAGAACCTCCTGACCTCCCCCCGCGCCCCGGTGAGCACCTCGATGCCGCCCATCTTCACCATCGACGCCGCAAACCGCGCCATCCACGCGGTCAGGTCGCCGGCGTTCTCCCTGACCTTCTCCGCCGTGTCGTTCTGGCCGGTCAGCAGCGCCGCGTCCGACGTGAACAGCACCCGCCCGGCGAGCGCGTTCTTGAAGTACTGGTTGCCCAGCGTCGCCGGCGACACGGGGCTGTTGTTCACCACGCCGTCGTCGGCGGCGCTGCCGTCAGGGCACGCCGCCCTCAGCGCCGCCGCGTAGCTCGCGTCCAGGGACGCGTCCACCGTCGGGTACAGCCGGTTCTTGAACCCGGAGCAGTGCGCGGTGCCGATGGAGTGCGCACCCGAGAGCGCCACCAGGTCGTCGACGGTGAGCCCCTTGGCGGCGAAGCTCTGGACGAGCTCCCCGGCGTCGAAGAACGGCGACGGGATGCTGGAGAAGACGGAGAAGGCGGACGACACGTTGCCGTCGCGGCTGCCGGCGGGGACCGGGTAGACGAAGCCGCCGGACTTGGCCACCGAGTCGCGGGCGGCGAAGGCGAGGATGTCGGCGCAGGAGACCTTGCCGGGGCAGACGGCCTCGACGGCCGCCTTGATCTTGTTCACGGCGTCGTACCCGCGGAGCGGGATCGCTGTCTTCTCCGGCGAGCCGTTTGCCTTCGTGGGATCAAGAAGGATGGACGCATCACAACCCTGCATGATCAAAAAACAAAAAAAAAAAAACTTCGTTTACATTTTTTTTGGGGACAAAATGAAGTAATTAACCATCAATATCTAAGCTTTGCTTGCAGTAATATATCTTGTGAGAAATTAAAACTGCTATCAATTCATAGTTGAAAAACTAAATTAACTTGTGGTTAGCAATTACATTACCATGACAAAGCAATCATGGAAATGCAAACGCAGCAGCGCCGGGGCCATGGAAGGGTCAGCATCGATCAAGCCGTAGACGACATTGCTGATCGTCTGCTCGGCATTTGGGCACGACGAGCCGTAGAAATTGTACTGCAGACTTGCAGTTGATATGGAGATGAGGCTCATAGCCTGGAAGGCTACCATGAGAATTAGCTTCATCCCCCTGCTGAACATTCTGAATTCTGACAAGGTTGTTCACTAGGAGACAGCAAAGAAACGCCTGAAACCGAATGAATATATGTGTAGTGATCGCTACCTCAAAGGATTGGTTGATGTTTGATGATGTGACAGGCAAACATTCGATGTATTTATAGGTACAAATGGATGTGCAAATTGATCATTGATAATTGAGCTACTCCTTTTGAATGAGGAGATTGATTAAATAAGAGATTTGAGGAATATTTGGAGAGCAATCATCAGAATAGTTATTTGCCAGTTCTTGTTGTCTAACAACATGGGGAGCAAAACAGCTAGTAACTGATAAAACGTGTAGGCGTTGACATCGATCCATACCTGGCGTTGTGACGGTGAACTTAATTTAAATTCGGCTGGAGCTATATAGAGTAAATTAATTGGCCGTCCAGATGCATCATGCATGTGTCAACCGAAGCACAGTATTTGATGGAAGGATGCATGGCGGAGCTAGAAAGATTTTTGAGCCCAGACAAATTTCAATATAACTGATATTTGCTATAGAAATTTCATCATCTATTTACTCATTAATATTAAAATTTTGTGTAGTTTTCGCTAACGAGCCCAAGCAGCCGCCCGGTGGCTAGTTCCGCCCCTATGAAGGAGGTCAGTTTATTTGGTCGATTTGACAACATGTATCTTTATTTCAATTCAAATGCTGTTACCTAAGAGCGATGTATTTGTAGAATTTCTTTCCATGTACAGTAGTAAATTAATTAACTTTCACGTCAAAAGCTTGTGTTAAGCGTATCCACTGGAAAGGACGCTAACGCCATACATATCTTTAGGATTTTGAGGGAACTATAGCAGGCATGTTCGCTAGCTCAAATATAATCGAGATTATAGTGGTCTCATCAATATTTAATCACTCCATTACTGTTATCTAGCATCCGAACCAGGCTAGATTAATTAAACATTTTCTTATTTGACTTCCCTTTTGTTTAAGAGGTCCTGTTGACTGGTTGGGAAGCAGCTAACCTACGTTCATCCCAGCCGTGTGTCAGATCACGTCAACTACTGGGCCTATCAATTGGCAGGTGCAAAGCGAGCGACCAATAGACTAGCAACCCCGAAAATTTCCATGTACATGCATGGATCTAAACAAATGTGTTTCAACATGTTTTTGGACCCCATTTTTCAAAAGTTCTCATCTGCACTCTCTATTGATTTGGCTAGAACAAATTTATTTTTTTCTCCCATAAGTGTTCGATGATAATCATGTCAACTGCAAATCAGTACTACAAAAAGACACATAAAAGTCAGTATTATAGGTGCCGGAATAACTAAAACCGGCACCTATTATGCTTTTCCCACCCACCGGAGCGCCCGCGGGGGGCGCTAAAGGGAAAAATTGGCACCTTTAAGTATTTATAAGTGCCGATTTTGAAAAAAGTCCGACAACTATACTATAGATGCTGGTTTGTTTATGTGTGTTCATCTTGTGTTCTTGATGTTCATGTGTGTTCTTAGATATTCATGTTGTGTTCTTGTGTTCTTAGATGTTCATGTGTGTTCTTAGACGCCTCAAGTGCAACCACCCCAAATTCTTAGATCCAGTCTATGGAAGTCGCGGCTGCCACGTATGTCATCCATCTCATCTCCTGGCTTGGAACCCATGGATTGTTGGCTTTAATACCATATTGTTACGAACCCACTCTATGTGATTTAGTGAATTCCAGCACAAGCACACAATTCTTCCTCCAACACTTGATACACGAGTATTTGGGGATACAAATGGGAGAAATGGAATCAAGACTGAGAATTAGCAGTAGATTGGAGAAGAAGAGATAGCCAGGGATTGAAGAGAAGAGAGATACAGAGGTTGAAGAAGAGAGAGCATCGGAAGGAAGAACTCAGGTTTCATCTATTTTGTTCGATCCTCCCATCTGTTGGATCTGCTCCTTTTGTAACGGCTTGAATGATTGGCTTATCGCAGCGGATTGAGCCTAGCTAGCCATGGGCTCAATATGTATACCGATTCAGCCCAGTTACATGACAATCCACGAGTACTAAATATGTATGGGATTTAGTCTATGCACTAACAGATGCAAAATCAGGGACGAAGGTAGTAACAATTCATAACAGGTAAATATATGGGTAACCACAAATACAAATACTTTATATTATACTGGAGTAGTCTTTTTTTTTCGAGTACAAGGTTTTCTGTATTTTAGAACGATGAGATATAACAAGAAAACATATGGCTACGACCACATCGTCTGCATGCATGTACGTAACCCCCTGCATAAGTGGCCGAATTAGCTCTTGCTGTGGTTGATGGCGCCGCACTTGTTCCTGATCTCCCCCTTGCTCCCCACCGGCATGGGCAGCTTGCTGAGCTTGAGCAGCGAGGCGGCGAAGTCGTGGTCCCAGAGGGCGGCGTTGTCGGCGTACTCGCGGACGTGGCCGCGCGCCTCGTCCTGCGTCAGCAGCTGCCAGTCCGAGTTGAAGTTGACCACCTTGTCGAGGTTGTTGCGGTAGTAGGTGTTGTCCAGGGCGCTGACCGGCCGCAGCTTGCCGACGAACGCCGGCATGAACCTCGCCACGGTGGCGAGGTCCTCGTCGCGGGCGTTGTTCACCACCGCAGGGTCGGCGCCGCCGCCGCGGGAGCACCTGTAGTTGAGCAGGTTGCGGTAGGACGGGGTGATCTGGTCGGGCGGCGCGGCGAGGCGGGCGGTGAAGGAGGAGCAGTGGCCGTCGCCGACGGAGTGCGCGCCGGAGAGGACGACGAGCTCCTCGACGGTGAAGTTCTTGCGGGCGAAGTTGTCGATGAGCTGCCGGATGGTGAAGGTGGGATCCGGGAGCTCCGCCTGGGCCTCGTAGGCGGAGGAGACGACGCCGTCGAGGCGGCCCGCGGGGACGTCGAAGCGGACGCGGCCGTTGCTGAGGATGCTGCTGGCGTCGCGGGCGGCGAAGATGAGGATGTCGGCGCAGGAGACCACGCCGGGGCACCTCCTCTCGAGATCGGCCTTGATCTCCTCCAGGATGTCGAATCCTTCCAGCCCGATGCTCACCGGCGCTGCCGTCTCAGGACGAGGGTTCTCGTCGGACGCGTTAAGGAGGACGGAACCATCGCAACCCTGCAATACTCATGCATGCATGCATGCATTGTGCAACCACTCATTAGTCCCAAGTGCTTCAAAGCTACTAGTACCTCCTTAGTGCTTCAAAACTACTACTCCTTTTCACTATATAAGTTGTTTTGGTCCTCTGTTTCGTACTCCCTTCATTACTTTTTATAGTTATATTTTATCTTAATACACCGATCAAAGATAAGTAATTTTACTTATCATCCATTTAAATATGCTACTAGTTATTTCTCGTAAACAAGCGATTTATTAATATATTTACATTTCTCGATGCCTATATAGCCAATATTGCGTGGAAGAATGGAGAGTCACGCATTAAATTCCGGAAAAGCTGCGCGAGTTAAGCAAATAGCGCGCACTTTTTTTATTGAGAAAGGACTCGTCGTTTGTGTTTTTTCTGTTAGGCCCACATCTTTTTCCCTTTTTTTTCACGTTTTGTTTTTTTAGTTATTTTCTATTTTTGTGTTATTACTTTGAACTCAAAATTTTAAACTTTTAACTGATATTTGAATACTTTCAATTCAAATTTGAAACGTTTTCAATCCATATTTGAAAACTTTCATCTCAAATTTAAAAACTTTCCACTCAAAATTTGAAACTTTCAATCTAGATTTGAAAATTTTCAACCCAGATTTAAAAACTTTTAACTCAAAATTTAAATTTTTTAAAGTCAAATTTTGGAACTTTCAACTTTTCATCTTAAATTTGAAAAATTTTCAACCCAGATTTGAAAACTTTCAACTTCGACTTGAAAACTTTCAACTCTGATTTGAAAACTTTCAACTCAGATTTAAAAGTTTTCAACTTGAGATTAAAAACTTTCAACTCATATTCGAAAACTTTCAACTTAAGATTTGATAACTTTCAAATCAAAATTTAAAATTTTCAAGTTAAAGATTTAAAAATTTTCAACTCAAAACATTTTTTGAAAAAATATGTGTGCTAAAGATTAAAAAAGTAATAAGACAAAAGCGAAAAAAAGATAAAAGAAAAAGGCAAAAAAATCGCAAAAAAATCTTGCGAAAAAAAAGAAAAAAAGAAGCCTGATGGGCTTCCGGGCCGGGGCCAACAGGCGGGCGCGCGCCAATTAGCCACCCCCATGAAATCCAAGAAAGTCATTAAAAAAATAGGTGGTTGGATTGAAATATGCCTATCAAAAGTAAATTTTTTAGATTTGGAATATGATGGAGAGAGTATTATAACTCATTTTAATTTTTTTTCAAACCTTTTTAAGTTTGATTAAGTTTATGAAAAATTTTAGCAACATTTACAACACCAAATTAATATCATTAAGATTAACATTTAATACATTTTGATAATATAATATTTTCTTTGTGCTGAAAAAGTTACTATATTTTTCTATAAATTGAAAGTTTGACTAGGAAAAAAAATAGAATGACTTATAATGAGAAATAGAGGTAATATAAATGAATTCACTCATAAATCCATTTAAAACCCGAAACAATTTATAATATGAAATAGATGAAGTACCGATATGTACTCACTCCGTTACACAATGTAAGTCATTCTATCATTTCCCATATTCATATTGATGTTAATGAATCTAGATAGGAAATGTATATATCTAGATTCATTAACATTAATATGAATGTGAGAAATGATAGAATGACTTACATTATTAAACGGAGGAAGAAACAAAATATACCCTGACAAAACAATCATGGAAGATGAGACGGATGAGGGAGCCGCCTATGCCGCGGTCCTGTATGATAGCCTTGATGACGTGCGACCTGACGATGTCCTCGACGCCGCTGCATTTGTTGTCGTAGTAGCCCACCTTCAGCTCGCCGTCGCCGGCCTCCGCCGACGACGGGGCGGCGGCGAGAAGCGCGGTCGCCATGGCACAGACAATTGCTACCGTGAGCTTCATGCTTCACAAACCTATCTAGGAGACCAAAAGCAACACAAAGCTCAGCGAAAGCTAATTTGCTTTGTTAGACAGCTATAACTGAGTTAGCGATGCTTGAGCGGCGAGGCTACATGATGCCTAAGCTCAAGGCAAGGGTATATATAAATATAAAATTGCCGGGTTCGGCCGAAAAATTTCAGGGCCATATGCTAATTAACTGTACTGAGAGTAATATTACAGATATATTTACGGCGTTGACAGTCATATGAAAGATTGGATTAATGGTACACACTTTCCATATACTTCTTTTGTTTCAAAATATTTTGAGTATTCAAAAATTTATGCCACAATATAAGTATTTATGGGACACTCAGTCCAGTGCACAAAAATCGTTCTGTACATTTTCATCCGATGCTTGAAAGGGATATATAAACAATTTAAAATTTAACCACTAAAAGATATTTTTTTCACTCTGCCTTAGTTTTGTTAATAATCATATAAATACTTATATTTTAAATCATCTTACAAAACTATTTTAAATTCTTTTTTCAACTTAGTGTACCCTCCAATAGCGAACACAAAATTATTCAGCTAGTACTCAGAAAAAGGACACTGAAAGTACCAAAATAGCAAATCTAATGTACAGACGATATATACATACTCCCTCCGTTCTAAAACGTCAACGGTGGAAAAGAAAGAAATAGTATACGACAATAGTACAGTGGCACTTGATGTAGGGGCTGTTCCTTAGAGATTGTACTGTAGCGAAAGTAGTGCTTTGAACAAAAATTGCATGAATACTGATATTGATTTTTTTTGAAAGAAATATACCGGTTGAAATTTGTTTGGAAGAAATATTCCATCGGTATCGCGGGGTAGGAGTGCAATACCGGTATACCGAGGTTAGCACGCGGCTACGCGAAACTGCCACGGTATCGCTTATTGTTGACGGTCATTAAGTGTAAACTTTAACCGTCAACTCCTGTATAAAGAATATAAAATATTATATCAAAACTTGATGGTAGGAGTTTATTGCTAACCATTTTCACTAGTTTTGATAAATATATTTATGCAGGTCATTTATGAATAAAAATACATATGTCATGCCATAAAATGAACCTCCGGTCAATCATACGTGAGTAAAAAGATTGGAGGGCTCACATGACAGTTGAAACCGATCTAAAGTAGGGCCAAACCAACCTCAGTCACCATAGAGGCCTACCTGTCATTCACTGGATGAAGTCGATGGCTAGAGGCGGTGGGAGCCGAACCAGACTTACCGTCCCCCAGCTTTCCCTTTGCACATGGCAGCGCCCTATTAGATGGTGATCACGGTTACAGATGAACCGACTGAAAACCACCTTACAACCATCATATCTAAACATTTTTTTAAAAAAATTCATACTCATTTAAATTGAATATATGTACTCAATTTAAATCTTGGTGCCTGGACACCATAGTGCCCCAGTTAATTTTACAATATATATAAAGGAATGTGGGAGTAGTTGAAATAAAAAGATGCAACATCATCATCCTCTAACAATATGCTACATCATCATTCAATAATAATTATTACATTTAAACATTATGAAGCATGCTATATTATTTGTAATTTTATGATTTATTGAATTTTAGAGTTTTTAAAATGTAAGCATGTTAAATCATCATCCCACATAATTCAAATATTATTTCAATTTATCTCTTCATCCTTTTTTATAATATTCTATATATAGTTCATTCTCACTTAGTTAATGTTATTTCTCTCTTCTCTCATTAAGCCATATCACATCAATTATTTTTAGTCTTAGATAATCTATGGTCCAAAATATCTCTCTCCTTTTCTTCTCTCATAAAGCCATATCACCTTTACTTTTACATTTAAATCATCATTCTATACACTATTTAAATTTAATTTATCATTTAAATCATCATTCTATACACTATTTAATTTTAATTTATCATAAATCACATGCATCAATTTATGTAAGCTTGTATTGTCTAGCTAGCTATCTTACACATTGTTTTCACTTGTTATTATGCTAACTCAGTAGCAACACGCGGAGTTTTACATAGTATATATAAATGCCAGCCGCCCAGCCGGTACACTCTAGGAGAAAATGCATGCGTACTAACGTCATTTTCAGTTCGGTGCAAATCTACATCATCAAGGTACGTATGTACAACACCTAAATTCTTATATATACTGGTTGTGGCAAACTGCAAGCTAATTAATTAACTATATGGCCGTCCAAATTTGATTCTTAGCGCCTTCTTTTTTATTCGTGGGAGATTCTTAGAGCCTTTGCTTCTTATAAAATGAAACCTTGAATATACAATATAGGACATGTACTTTTTTAAATTAGGATGTACGTACATATACAATTAATTAACATTTGATACATTTTCTCTTCGAGTGAAAGTCTGAAGTACTCAAATGCTCACGTGTTTTTCCATGGCACATATACTATTTCGTACGAAAAGGCATAACATGCTCGACGAAATATTATTAGATATGTATGTATTTGTTATTTTTATACAATAATGTATTTTCTACGAGACACTTTCATGGTAGTTTTCTAAAATGACCATAATTTTAATATTTTAACATTTTTCAGCTCAACTACTAGATAGATACAATTACAGAGATGACGTTTTAAATTACCTCATGCCAAGTTGGATGTTCAGCCTGGTTTTATCTTTTACTAAATTGCAGAAAATCTCCAAACATTTTGGAGGTGATTGATAGAATTTTTCTAAAAAATATCGGACAAAGAATTGAAATTTGAATAATTTTTTGGTAAACTTAAACATTTTTTAAATTAAAAAACATCCAAATTGCAAAAATAAAGAAAATGTTTACGGGGTCCATGGAAAACTAAAATACTTAAAAAGTTAAAAATATATTTTGATTTTTTTCAGATTTAAATTTTTTTTTCTAATTAAAGATGTCCTTTTAGGAAGTGAGGCGCTGAAATTCCAAAATTTTCAATTTGCGAAAGGGCGTAAAAGCACCTTTTTAAAATTTTATCTGCCCAAATGAGTAAAATGTTGAAATAATGATCATGGAATGTTTTGGCAAATTACCAAGTAATCGAAGTGTCCTGGCAAAGACACGTTCTATAGTGCTATACCGCAGGTATAGTTAAATATGTTACATATATGATACTTCTACTACAAATTTTGGCATGAAACATATTTGGATTAGTTTTCTAATATATAAAACTTGACTATCAGGGTTAATTTTCTAATATGTCTCTAAATCTTCTTCTACTAAGACTCTTAGAATTTTTCTTTATATATCTCTTGTAAACCTCACAAGAAGTATGCGACAACCCAATGTATTCTATACGTTTGTACCCAACTCCTCTATATTAATCATTGCCGATCTATGCATGTAGGCTTTTCTGGTAAGAGTTTTTCACATAAAAGTCATATATTAGTCGTGCATCTATTTTTATAATAAATGGTATTAGAACTTTAGAGATGGATATACTAAGGGTCTATTTGGCACAATTTCAGCTCCACCTCTACTAGAGTTAGAGCCTAACTAAACAGTTTCACCTCCACCTAAAATAAAAACGAAACTGAGTAAAATAATTTCACAAAATAAACTAGAAAGAAAGATAGAGTTGGATTTAAATTGCTCTACGGCTTTATCCAAACATAACTCTAGAACTAAATTTTAGATTTGGACCAATCCCATACCAAATAGGCCCATCCGGGCCGCCGGCCGTCTTCATCATCGTCGTCAATTGTTTAGCGAGATTTGGCTTCGCATCAAACGCCGACAAGGAGTCGACTGATCGACTCCGATTTGACGAGCAGCAATCGCGACGAGCAGCACGTGCAGAGTAAAGCATCGGCTCTGACTGATCATGCCAATTCAATTTCACGTTGAAACTGCTAAGTCCACCCAAGCTTATGTACCAGGAGACTCCTTGATCAACGCTTTGTGCACACAGGAATTGCACCCAGAGTATATCGTGTTTCTGCTTTGGTTCAAGCAAATTTATACCACACAGCTACTCCAAAACACCCCCATAGAGACCAACCTTAACCTTATACATGCCGATTTGCTTTAAACCGACACCTATAACATTTTTTCCATCATATTTCAGTGTAAAATTAAGAACCGGTACCTATAACAACTCATTGACTGAGTTAGTTGGTACATGTTTATAATAAAATCCGGTACCAATATTCCTCAAAAATCATATATGCTGGTTCTCATAATAAACCGATACCTATGAACATCACATAGATATTGGTTCTTATAATAAACTCGCACCTATAACTACGGCAGTATCATATGTAACGGTTTTTATGAACCGGCACATATGTGTATCGCATATGTGCCGGCTGGTTTACAATTAAAACCAGCACCTATGATGACACAACTCATATATATGTGTATTTTTTTATCTATCTTTTTCATATAAAGTCGGATGAAGATAAAGTTTATATCAAATTTGTAGAGCTCGACGATATCTACAACTTCGTAGTTGATGACTTTTCGATTTAAGTTTGTTTGAATGTCCGAAAATGTGTTACAATGTCTCAAACCTATTTGCATGAGTGGATATTTAAAATTTCTAAACGATATCAGCTAGACACAAAACCTATATAAAAGTTGTAGATATAGATAAGATCTACATTTTTCTACACTTTTCATTTTATCTTATCTATGGTGTTAAATATGGATTATAAGTTCAAATGATAGTGGTCTCAAAACAATAGCATTTGTTTCCAAGACAAGAAGTGTTTGTAGGTGATATGGCAAGGTGACTTTGTGTGAAGTGAGATGTCTTGAATTTGAATTTTTCTTGACACATTTGTATGAATATGGATTCAAAAATTATGTGACTTTTGGGAACGAGAGTGTGATTGTATAGGTGCCTAATAAAAATACCAAATATTTTTTTTGACTTTTTAGCACCTGAAAAATAAAAAACGAAGGTGTGTTGGTTCAAGAACCGGCACCAATGAGCATTCATGTAGTACTGCGAGCAGATTTAGGATTAATTCTTATGACGAGTTTGAAGATAATCTACCACGTCTAGATTGAGTACATATTCTCATTATGATAAGTAAATATTTGAAGTGGGGTATTTACCTAAGAGGAAAAGCACAGAAAA